CTTTCACAAGGCGTGGCGGGACAATGTGTAGTTGTTTGCTTTTCTGGCATGTGAAATGACTGGGAACACGAATCATGGGCACAGGAGCCTGACCACCCAACCGGCATTGCATTGCAGGGTGGCTGTGCAGCACAAAGCTCAGAACCGCGTTTGAGGGAACAAATGTCAGCAATTGGAAGATGCTCTGCAACTCAGCGCAGAGTATTTGCATTTGAAGCGGAAGACTGGCACGCGCTAGCCTCTTCCTCAGTTTTCGTGGGAAAGCTAGTAAGTCTTTAAGTTCCCCATGCCCGGACCACAAACATCATAGACTAATCTGATTGTCTCAACCCCATGTCAAAGCAAGCCAATGGCCTGGTTCCTGATGCGCACAGTCAGCGTTGCTGATTCAGGCACAGTGCCTGGCATAGCGAGTCTCATGTTCTCCTGCACGGCTTCCTCCCTAATGTCTGCAGCACACATGTCTCATAACTTGGTGCCAGAATTCAATAGTTCCAACCTGGATTCAAAGAGCCTACCTCCGCTCGCAACATGAAGGAGAGTGTGAAGGGCCCTGGTCAGAAAGACGTGATGTCTTTTGGGAGATGTGAACGTGTGAGAAGGCGTTTTGACACCAACAAATGCAAACCAGGCCAAGGACCACCTTTGCGGTGCCCACGCATCGGCAGCAACTTGGAGCGCGGGAAACGCGGCTAGCATCTGGATTCCTGCAAGGTCTGAGAGCGGCACCAGTTGCCAACGATCCCCCAGGACCTTGAATGCACCTCGATGCAATGCCTCCCATGCCTCAGTGCCGGATCGCAGTTCTCTGCAACCCTCTGCATGCCTTGCCGCTGCTAAACTGCACGCTTCCAATTGGGCATCACTTCTGCACGCTATGCCTTTTTCCCCCTGCATTTGCTGTGATTGGCAGAAGCTGCTGACCTGAAAATACCATGCGCCGCAGCGAGGCAGAAATGCAGCTCAATCATCCAGAATTCCCTCAAACTCCCACCTCACCCAAACCCACCCAACCAAACCCACCGAACCAAACCCACCACCCCCCCTCCACCCAACCAAACCAACCAAACCAACCCCCCCTGCTTCAACCATCTGTTCACCTGCCCCGCCCCAAGTTGCAGTCAAAGCGCGTCACTTTCGCCGGCGCTTGGCGGTGGCAGCAGCTTGGGCAGCGAAGGAGGCCACAGAAGCTGGACCTCTTCGCACGCATCATGGACATGTGGCCATGGGTCAAAAGCCAAATCGTACCCCCCAGTGACACCCAATCCCCACTAAAACAGGTTCTAAAATGGGTGGTGCACCTACCCCAAAATGGTACCCACAGCCATGTGCTCAAACCCTCCTAACCATGTCTTGTCCCCGGCCTTAGGGCAACCCATGGGAGTTGCTTCAGCGGTTTGAACATGCCAGGTGGCCCAACCGTGGCGCGCACCCTCAAGTTCCAAACTCGCGCCTGGAGTTGAAGCCAACTTTGGTGCAGATGCCCTTGGCTGCACCAAGGCCTGCAGAAGCTCGCGTTGAGAAGAGGGCGTCACGCGAACCAACTTGCAAGGCGCTGCCCGCCTGTGTTGCGGATTCTTTGCCTGCGCGGGCAAAGGGTGGACGGGGGCTTAGCAACACAAGAAGGGCATGATGCCCCGATGCCCCGAAAGGTGAGAAGGCAAAAGGGGCATCGCGAAGCCAGCACAGACCCACCCTCAAGAATTCCCAAGACCGTCCATGATGTACCTGCACTGTGTCTACACTATCACTAATTACGCAGTAAACCCAGCTCTGCAGCCAGCCAGCCAGCAAACCAACCGACCAACTGGTTCCACCTGGCGGAGAAAGAGATAAGGGATGATAAGCAATGATAAGGGATGATAAGTGATGATAAGGGTGAAACGCAAGGACAAAGGAGATCGCCGCACTCGTCCACACAGCGCGGCAAGCGGATGAATGTGGTGGAATTGATTGGGGCCGAAGTCAAGCTTTTCTGGTGCCGAGAGCTTGCCACACATTTGGGTCGCCACACAAGGCAGCCAAGGCCCAAGGCGCGGGAGGGCCAACCACAAGCAAGAAGCAACACATGGTGTCAGTACGTATCTAAGCTGAGGAACCTTCTGATTCTCATGTCTCTGGTTGCAAAATCTGTGACGCCTGGGCCGGAGCCTGCCTCCATTGACTGGGTTTCCCAGTGGTCGCTTCAGCACCTGCGACCCCCCCCAAAAAAGCAACAGGACCGTGGCAGGCAAGCATAAGAAGGTGCGCTCCGCCGAAATGTCCCACCTCTTGATCAGAAGGCCGATTCCGCATCCTGAAGCCGTATATTTGTTTCAGTCTATCTTGGCGACATGCAAGCGTCTGCCCGCTTATTCATGGCCGCAAGGTTGAATGCACTTTGCATGCAGCAGCCTCACTCAATGTAGTCATGCTGTAAGCCCAAAATGGGGCTGTGGTCAAGTTCCAAGCACCGGGCTTGGACTCGTGACCGTTCGATGCAGCCTGCAAACCAGGCTTCGGACCATGGATCGATTGCATGGAGATTGTCCTCTGTGCACGAAGCTTGCCCGAACGAGCATCAGGGGTGCCATATGCAAGAGCAACCTCTGTGCAAACTGCCTGCCTGCACAGGCTGCTTTACCTCACAGCAGGCTTTGACATATGAGCCATGGTCGTGTGCCTCTATGACATCGGATTCTGGTGAGCACACCCCCAGTTTAATCCGCCAACCCCTGCTCCAGAAGGGGGAGGCGCACAGGAAGGGTGGGTGATCATTGTCACTATCATGACCCGTTGTCCAAAAAACCATGCTACAAGGAATGAACTTGCTTTTGGGTACTGATTGGTGGGAGGCTTTGCAAGAGAAAAGCCGTCCGTGGCCTGGAAGCTCTCCCAGGAGACAAAATTGGCAGTGGACAATGCAGGATTTGGACCTGGCATCGGGCGTGGACTCCAAAGCGTTGAGTACCCTTAGCCAGCCTGCCGCACGGCCTGTATCCACGCTTCGTGCAGGCTGTGGCTGTGCAGGTTGTGTGACCTACGGCCAGGTCTCCTTCCGCATCTTGTGTAAGATGTTTGCCAAGCCTTCTCGGGGACTTGGGCACGAGGCTGGCGTGTCTCTGGCCAAGTCGTCTCCTTCCTCACCCGCGGGATCTCTCAAAGTGTCTGATCACTTGATCATTGCCAGCCCATGCGTCCAGGGAGCCAGTTGTCTACAAGAGCACGGCAAATGCAGAATGGCAGAACCTGCTCGGCAAGCAATCGGCCGTGGAGAGGGGCCAAACTAATGGGACCCCGCATGGCCCGCATGTGTCAAATTCCCTCGTGTCAACAACGGTGCCGATCCTGCCCAGACACCGAACGCCGGCAGCGTGCACAGAAGGGGCCGTGCGAGCAGCCCTTGACCTCATGGCTCACTTCCCGCATTCTTTTTGACGGTGCAATGATCGGGAAAAGCATAGCAGAGCTTGCTGCTGTCACTGGTCGATGCGCAACTTGCGCAAAGGATGCCGTGCTAGTTGTTGGTGATTTCCGACACCTGAGCTCCAGTTGACTTGCTGAACTTTCTCTGGATTTGAGGCGGGTGCTGAACACATCTCGTCCCATGGGTCCTTGCCACGGGGATCGTCAGCGGCGTCAAGCAGCACGCAACGGCCACAGCCAAACCGCCCTTGCAACTCTTGCAGGGATCAGGCCTGGTGTCAGCAGCAGTCATCAAACTTGCACGATCAGGCTGATTCTGTCACATGCGCTGGGCACATGTGCTGAGGCTAGCTAGCAACGGGAACTGATGGGTATTGTCACTGCTGAAGACGATTGAAACCATCTGGCTCTGGCAGCGCAACTTTTTCTTGGCTTAACACGTTGCTATCCTCAAACTGCACCCGGAAATGACTGATAAACTCATGGAACTGCTGCTGCGGGCATCGGAAAGATACGGAGCCTTGCATCATGTGGAAGCTTGTCAGCATCCCTGGGGGGGAGGTGCTTCTTATGCGACCCAAAACATATGGTTTTCCTATGAGTTTAGACTTAAAACACCCAGGGAAGGGTTCTCTCAAAAAAGACACATCCATATGCACACCACAATGAAGCTGGCACTCGGCACCTTTTTTTTTCCGCTACTTCTCCGCAGCAATCCAGCGGCTTCTCCTGCGCCGACGGCCACAAGCAGCACCTAAACCCAAGCGTCGTCCAAGTTGCTCTGTCAAGTATCTGTGGAAGCTAGGGATGATTTTGCGATCGAGAACCATCAGAAAAAGCCAATGGCTTCAAATAACCTAAAGCATTCGCGCCAAGTTGCTACTTTGATGCATCATCCAGCGAGCTTGCGTCATCGCGTCGGAATGTACACAGGCACTGACCACCTGCAAAATCCGATGCCGGTGCCGCGTGCATTTCGCTCAAAGAGAAGCCTCGCTGGTGCTCACTGCATCTGCGTAGAGTTCATGCTTTGCAGCCTCCGATGGCAACGGCTGTCAGACTCTCTGACGCGTTTTGTTTGGCAGCCGTAGCATGTCCTGCGTTGATCGGTTTGGTAGGCAAACTGGCTAATTTCAATCGAGAAAGTTAGGCCATGGGCGCGCACACCCAAGCGAGGCATGCTACCAAGAAATGGCACCTGCCATGCCCAGCCTGCACGACCAGCTGCAAAGCGAGTCTCCACTGCCAAGCTTGGCAAAGTGCATGCACCATGGTGCCCAAAGAGCTTCTGTCCAGGGCTTGGGCCTCACACGCTACCAAGATTGAATACACAACAGCCGCACATGCTGGCAATGCCACCAAGCTCAGCAATGCTGTGAGTGATGGATCAGCATTCTCAGGCTTGCAACCTGCCGCTTCGCTAAGAACCCAACACTTCCTGGGTGAGTGAGCCTCGCGCGTGCGTGCGAATGCGTTGCATCAAGGCAGTCCAACCTGGCAGTTGCCAGCTGCCATTGGCTACAGGCACCGCAAGCTGCAGCAGCAGTGCTGCAGGTGATGCTGTCCGGTTGGAGCGCATGCTGCGTAGCCTTGCAAGAAAAACTTTTGCGAGAGACTCAGATAGCATTTTGACTTTCTGGCCTCCATGCAGAAGTGGAGAGCGCTTCTCCATTCTGCGCAGCTAGCGCAAGTGCCGACCAGGGCATTGTAAAGCACCTTGACCAGCGACGCGCGCAATGCAAGAAACGGGAACATCGGGCGTCCTACTCGTTTCAACTGTTCGGCAGCTGCGGCGCACTGCTGTGCGGACTTGTGGCAGAAAGCAAGCCTCGGGCAGTCATGCTCCCTTCTATATGCTTCTCAAGCCAAGGTACCGCCAAGTTTTGTCACAAACAGCTGACACAAAACCAGCAGCACTATGAAACAGGGCTGCCGTACTAGCAACAGCCACAACCCCTCCCAAATATTATTCAAGCGCCCTAGAAGGAAATGCACGGCAGCACTGATCATTGATGTCCAACATGTGGAGCAATTGTGCCATGCAGGGCATGTGCTAACGATGCTTGGTCCTAGAAACGAGCATAGTAGGTGAGAAAGCATGGCTAGAATGCCCATCAGGCCTGCAGCCGTAGGCCACTTGCCAAACGACCTGGGAGGGCCAAGCGTGCCGCTCCGTGCGTGTTGCTCACGCGGGCGAATGTGCATAAGCTGTGTCTGCTCAGGCCTGCATGTCGCCATCGCTGCGCTTTGGGCCACCTCGGGCAAGCCCTGGTTTTCTACCCAGCAGCACAAGACAAGTACTCCCCTGCACATTGACATCTGGTGGTGGCAAATGGAACCAAAGACTAAAAGCTGCGGTCCCCTGGTAGTTTTATTTTGACCCATACCCATCTAACCCAAGACCCGGGGGTGGGGGGGTCCAAGAGCAGATTCCTCTTAACATGATGGCTTTGAAGGTTTCCAGCTCTCATTGCAGCCTGCCGGCAGCATTGCTGCGAATCTTGGCAGCTGCCATCTGTTGAATCACTCCTCGGCGCGCTGAGTGCGGCTACGATGGACATTGCCTTGGTGGCCCTAAACAAGGGGATTCTATATTCGGCCCATAGGTGAGATGCCACGTCTTCCGCACTCAATGACCCAATTGAAGCCTGAGCTCTGCAGCTGTCATTTTGTTCTGACAATTTGTGTTGTACCAGCCAACAAACAACAAACAGCCGAATGAATTGGTGATGAAGCCGGCGACGGCGCCATCAAGGATTGGAGGCGGGGTGCCCTCGCCCACCCCAGCCCCACCATTGCTACTCCCCCCCGCACCCACACACGGACTGCACACAGGCACGCACACCCAGGTGCATGGACATCCTCCCTTTAGTGTTGCTGCCCGGGCTCGTAGTGCCACATCCCAACAGCTGCCGCCATCACAGGCATGCAAAAGCGCCCCAAAGGAAACAATGTCAGCCTGCAGTTCCAGGCTCGTCACCTCCAAGAGTGTGCAGGATGCGGCCTTGCAGGGCGGTGACAAAGGCGTGCCACTGTTGCAGGCGCCAGTGCCTCCCATATTTGGCCGCAGCTCCATGACGTAATCCCCGCCCCCATAGAAATTGCGTCAGCCGCCATGCCTCCAGGGGAAGTGTCTCTTAAGTACTCTTAGGGGGGCTTGGCAGCTTTTTCGTTGACCGTTAAACAAATGCCGCCAGAGCGCCTGCAGCACTCACCCTACAGCACTCCAAAGCCCACGCCCACTTACCACTCGCTTCGCACGCAGAGGAGGCTGCACTCCGCGTGGCAGTCTCCATGCCTTTCAAAAGTCACAATAGGCCATGGGTCAAACGCCAAATCGTACCCCCAGTGAACATCCCAATCCCCACTAAAGTAGGTTCTCAAATGGGTGGTGCACCTACCCCAAAATGGTACCATTGGTTTTCACCCGCAGCCATAAGCTCAGATTCAGGTAGATGTACATTGCTCGGACCCCATTTCAGCATGCGGCCAGAGCTCGGAGGCCGCGGCGCTTTCCCCAACGCAGAAGCTGAAGTGCCGAAGTCCAGGCGCTCAGGGCTGCGCACGAGGTGCTGCCTGTGTTGATGGCAACGACGTCAATCTCCACACCTGGCTGTGGGTCAAAACTGGGTACCCAAAATGGAACCCTGGTAAATGGGATCAAACACTAAAACTTGTGGCCCCCTGGTGGTTTAATTTTGACCCACACCCACCTGAGAAGGCACACTTTGACGTGCACCGTGCGGGCGGAACATGAAGGCTTCGCTTTGGACATTTTTTTTCGGATTCAGTATGTGCTATCTGTTCAATTTGCTGAAGGCGACAGGTGCAGCTGGCAGCCGCATTGCATCAATCAAGCAAATCGCGCCTCTGCTGATCGCACTGCTCAACATGGCCGCACACCAGGCCTTCATAGGAGCTGTCTGTCCAACAGCCACCACTCATTGAACCATGAAGTCGCACGCCTGCTGTCCCGACTGCGCAGAGTTCCACGTGGTGCTGTCTGTTTTCAGTCCTTGTGCGCGAGCTGCGCGCAACAGCCTGAATCGCACTTCGCATGGTCAGTGTGCATGGCCCAGTGCCCTCAGTCCCCCGGCTGGCCAGCATAGGGCCAAGGGCTTGCAAAGCTCAGTAGCCTCAGGTCTCGAGGCTTTGATGCCCATTGAAACCTTCACAGCAACAGCTGACTGTGCTGCGCGACGTGTTGTAGCTGACCACGTTTGGGCGGAAGTCAGAAGTTGCGGCTCGCTGCAGGCATGCTTCCGCAGCCTGCCAACCTCGGCAAAGGATGGCAGGTGCGCGGCTCGGAGCGCAGCGCAAACTGTCAAAGGCGCTGACTGTTGCGTGGTCGAAGCAGTGCGGTACATGCATTGAAGGTTACCTGGTCATGACTTCTTTGTCAATGACTGGCCCAATTTCATCCCGTCAAGAGCTGGCTGCCTCTTCTTGATAGATCAAACTTAGCAGTCGTGGGACAATCTGCATCTGGATGTCCCACATGTGCATGGACTTCAGCACCGCAAGGCCAAATGACCATCGTTCGCAACGGGCACAACTAGTAAGGCCAGCATTGTAGGCAAATACTCCTGTGTTTCGGCGTAAGCTCTCTGACGCAGGCTCTCACACGTTTTTCCCCACCCGACAGGCGACAGGAAGGGGTTGTTAGATTTTATGTTGGAATCCGCCTTTGCGATGCTTCTACACCACGCCCGCACCCAGTATCCCGCCACAGCAGCTCGCCAGTGGATCCCATCGAGCATCCCGCCAGAGCAGCTCGCCAGCGGATATCCCGCCACAGCTGTTCGCCAGTGGATCCCGCCGAGTATCCCGCCAGAGTGGCTCGCCAGTGGATCCCGCCGGGTATCCCGCCAGAGCGGCTCGACAGTGGATCTCGCCGAGTATCCCGCCAGAGCAGCTGGCCAGCGGATCCCGCCAAGTATCCCGCCAGAGCTGCTCGCCAGTGAATCCCGCCAAGTATCCCGCCAGAGCGGCTTGCCAAAGGATCCCGCCGAGTGTCCCGCCAGAGCGGCTCGCCAGTCCCGCCGAGTATCCCACCAGAGGAATATCCCGCGGAGTATTCCAGAGTAGCTCGCCAGTGGATCCCGCCAAGTATCCCGCCGAGTATCCCACCAGAGCAGCCCGCCAGTGGATCCCGCCGAGCTTGCCAGTGGATCCCGCCGAGTATCCCGCTGAGTATCCCTTGCCGGTGGATCCTGCCGAGTATCCGGCCAGTATCGAGGCGGAGCGTATTCGCCAGTGGATCCCGCCAGTATCCCGCCAGAGCAGCTCGCCTGTCTGGTTTTGCTTAATGTCCAAAAGGGCCGATGGAAATTTGGAGTCGAAGTCTCTAGGATGCGGAGGAATTTGTTGCAACGGTCGTAAGCTCGTGAGTGTGGAGGGTGGGGATTGCTCGAAGCGAAGTATTTTTTCCCTCTTGGCAGGCAACAATACTTGCATCACACACGGCCGCACAACAACGATTCAGGCAGGCTCCTAGCTGCATTTGTCCTGCTGGCAAAGCCCTCAGCAAACCTTGGATACGCTTTACCAATGCAGGCAGGAAACGCGAGTTGAACTCCGCGCAAGCAAAGCAGGCGCCCTCCAACTGGGTTCACTAAAGTTCATCATGTGCTACTATCAAAGTTTCAGCTTAATGATGGCTTGAAGATATCTTGACAGCCCCTCACAGTTCAGTTTAAGGGGCCCAGTCTGCACCCACATGCTGGTGCCGAGATTCCCAGGCATTGCCTCCACTGGCCAGCAGCTGACAAAGCGGCCGCCGTTGCACTACCAACAATCACGTCTGCATGAAATCCTGCAACCTCATTTGCTGCAATGCAAAAGCCTATTGGGCGCACACTGGAACAAACATGTCAACTTGTTCTGCGAACTGGCCGCTTTAGCATCCTCCCACAGTTCAAGGGCCTCACCACGGACCGACTGGAGATGGGTTCACAAGTTTGCGCACCAGCATTTGCATATTTGGTTGCCGCCTCTCGCCAGTTGCGCTTCCCTGCAGCTTTGATGGCAATGGTGAACTTTGCTGCTTGCCCTTTTTCCGTGGCAGCCTCCGGCATGAGTCACCAATCTGGACGCACGTGCCGTCTGACAAAATGTTCATTTCACGTTTGTGCCAACCTGCTGGAGTCCGCATAGGCATAACATCCTACTTGGTGCCTGCGGGTAGGGCAGCTGACCGGCGGCGGCTGCGCTTGCCGCATGTCCCGGCAAAATCGCATGCATAAGACATGGCCGCCCATAAGCAAAGCTGCCCCAACGCCTGTTGAGGTTCCGAACAAACCTATGCTCGCCCTTGAGCCACATTCCAAATGGGACACATCGTGCGCTCAAACACGTGGGCGTACAATGGCCCTTGGTCAAAGCCTTGCCGAGTGTGCGGCGCTGCTGTTGGACCTCTTGACTTGCGAAGCAAACTGGCAGCTAAACGTCACTCTCGAAGCTCTGGGGCCCATACGCTCCAGGTCGGACCTCAGCCAAAATTTGCAGCCCCTGACTTTGCATTACAGCCGCCTGTCAGCACTTTGCAATTCCGTCGTCTTGACTTGCTGCTTGTTTTTCGGGACGGCTTCCTGGATACGTGCTGGGAACCAATCAGAATTAGAGCGCTCGGGGATCAAATGCACAGGGCATGCCCCGTGTTTTGAGGGTCCCAAGCTAGATGATTGCTTTGTAATTCTTATTGCCTTCCGGGCTGGGAAAATCGAATCTATATCGCTTGCTTGCAACAGGATGTGGCAGGCTAAGTGCAGCACCCCTGTGCCATTCTTGGAGTTGTCGCGAATGCAAAGGCCTCTGGCCTCAAATTCAGGCAGCCTTTGGTTGCAGTTCCAACCAGCTACAGCTCACTCCCACTTGTCGCTCTGGTTTTCACTCTCGCCCTGATTTCCGTTTGTCTGCCCTCTCCCCATCCCCACTTCTCTTCATGGCATTTGATCCTCAGCAACTGGCACCTTGCAAAGCGGTGCCTGAACGGCAAGTCATGATTCGTGCGCATGGAATGCAGGACTCCTGATTGAATACAGATACAAGATGCGCCTGCAACTTGGGCAATGTAGCAAGATATGTCCGGGCTAAGCGTCATACGAATAAACAGCTCGGCATGAAACTGCGAAACTCCATCACGATCGAGCATCACATCCTCACATGCCGTCAGGTTTGTTCTTAAACAAGCCATGCATCGGCAAGTCCAGGATTTGCATAACAAAAAAGGCAACAAACTGCCATCTCAACAACACGTCCAACAGCTGAGAGCTCAACGTTGGCAGTGCTCCTCCCAATCCGTATCACCTTCAGTAAGTTTTGCAATGTGTTACACGCGCAGCCAAACAAATGCCACCGGACACCTGATGAACAAGGACTGAGCTTAAGATACCTGCATTGCCGTCGCGTATGTTGAACTCCTCGCAAATCAAACCACTGCTCCCAGTCGCTTGAGGTCTGCCAAACCCAAGGCTTGTCATGGGATTCTCGCTGGCTGTTGCCTGCTGTTGCTGACTGCCTTCTCGCACAACACTGACGAGGCACCTCAAGGTAGCATGGCTCCAGTTGAGGCGGCAGCTTCTAACGCGTGCGCTGAGGACAACACTGCACCAAAGCATCCTGGATTGCAAACCACCAGAAGCAATGCATTCTTGTTGAAGTGTTAGGCACACGGACAGCTGGCACAATTCTGACCATACCATTGAAACAAGTTTGCCATGATCGGCCAATGTAAAGACAAACCTCACAGCTGGCCTGCGTGGCGTCTGCGGGCATGAGCGTGCCTTGACGGGACGCAGGTCGCAAAGGCCAACCACAAGAAAACACAGGGGAAAGCCTGGTTTTAGGTTTGGGTGCGGATTCAAATCAAGTTTTTGTTTCCCCGTTTTTTTTGGGGGGGTCTCCTCCGTTTTGCCAGAGCTCTCCTTTAGGTTTTGCCAAGGCTCTTGCTCAGCCCGCTGACATCTGGCCAGCTTGGCGCTTGCTGCTGCTTCGAGCGCACATGGCACTCGGCCGTCAATTAAAGGATGTAGACATGTCCGCGGCAAAATGCCACCTTTGCGCTTGCAGTGCTGTGAGCAATGATGCGGAACACGCGTTCTGGAATATTTGAACTGAGGACATTCTGGTCGCCTCAGGTCTGCGAGTGATTCGGGCTGCTTTTCCTCGCCCTTCGGTACTACGTGGATACGTGTGTTCATGCGCAGCTATCATAAGCCCACTCAATAAGGCGCGAATGCGCATTGTTTACAGTGCCCGGCAAGCAGCACATCACAAAAGAGAAGTGCAAATTGAACACTTTGGGACCTTGGGACAGGCAGCGCAGGCAGCACAAAGAAAAACAACTCACAAGTCAGAAGATTGCGAGGGCCCACCTTGGCTCCGCGTTACCGCATGCTTCCTTTTTACCCTTGGGGTGCCGTGCAGGGAACCCACTTGAACGCAATTGCCGAGTGAGCTGGATCACCATCAAGCGGCGTGGCCAAATGTGAGATGCCTTCAGCATGGGATGAATTCACCTGGCCTAGGACTACAATTGAGGCTTTGTCCTCACAGCCCTGCTCCGTCTTGAAGCAAGGGTGAACTTGGGCCCTGCCAATCTTTGCATCTGGTTGTATGACCTTGGCCTGCTTTGCATCTCCAGGTGCGCATGAAGGGCATGGCCCCGCACGTACTTCTGCACACGCTGTGCAAATTAAACCGTGCACTTGCCAAACGCTCCCATTGGGCTCGGCGTCTGAGTCTGAAGGCGCAACTGGCGATCAATGCCGCAAAAGCGGGCTAGATGCTGGTCTGCGCAGCGTTGGATGTGGCACCTTTGCCCAAGCTAATGCTGACCCCGGATTAATAAACCCGTCCTACTATGGGTGTTCCCTCTAAAAGTGATACATCTCCCCTAAAAGGGGACACCCCCCTATTAATCCGGGGGCAACATTCCCGTGGATGACCCAATGGCATCACAAAGAACGTTGGCGGGCCGAAAATCACAAACACAAGCCAGCTGCATGCCCGCTCGGTTTCGCACAACTTCGCCGTGGATGTTGAAGTATACGTTATTCCTCAGCTGCACGTAACTCGGTGATTTCGGTGCAAATCTGTTTCAAGAAAGCAACCAGGCCAAGGCAAAGGCGCAGCTGGCTGAATCTTTGCTTTGACTTCTTCACCCTCAGCCTCGGCCAAACACCCTCCGGGTATCTCAAATTCGGCAAGCATGGTCACTTCTTACCGGCCAAAGGGGCAGTTTGACTGCAAACACCCCATATTTTGACAAAAGTACATTGGAGCGATGTATTGTCGAACTGGTGCCAACCAATTGCAAAACAATTGGCCTCCAAGCTCCTGTGGTGCACCAGCTATGCTGTCTGGTGCTTCACAGCTTGTCACGCCTTTGAGTGTGCTTGAAGAGGCCGTTGCCCGATGCCGAAGAATAATGCCGTGAAACTGGCGGAGGAGCAGCACAAGCAAAAGCACAAGCAGCAGCAGCAGCAGCAGGAGCAGCAGTAGCAGCAGTAGCAGCAGTAGCAGCAGTAGCAGCAGTAGCAGCAGTAGCAGCAGTAGCAGCAGTAGCAGCAGTAGCAGCAGTAGCAGCAGTAGCAGAAGCACTTGTAGAATTAGTAGCAGCAGCAGTAGCGGTAGAAGTAGAGGTTCGGTAGGGGTAAGGGTTTTCCGGATCTCCCTTGCCCATTGCAATTGCCAGCGGGGGGGGGGTCCATGAGCTGAGCCGTGCCCACCAGGACCATCATCAACAACAACACCACCGCAACACCAACAACAGCAACAACACCAACAGCAACAACAACAGCGATCACTACTACACGACTACTATGACTACTACACCTACTACTCCTACTGCTAGTACAGCCACTTTTTCTACTGCTACTACTACTACTACTGCTACTACTACTGCTACTACTACTACTACACCTACTGCTACCACTACTACCACTACTACCACTACTACCACTACTACTAATCCTACTACTACCTACTACCTACTACAGACTACCTACTACCTACTACCTACAACTACAACCTACTACCTCCTACCTCCACTACTACCTACTACTACTACTACTACTACCACTACTACTGCTACTACTACTACTACTACCTACTACCTACTACCTACTACCTACTACCTACTACCTACTACCTACTACCTACTACCTACGACCTACGACCTACGACCGACTACCTACTACTTACCCCTACTACCACTACTACCACTACTACCCACTACTACCTACTACTACCTACTACTACCTACTGCTACTACCTACCTACCTACCTACCTACCTACCTACCTACCTACCTACCTTGTATTACTTCCTAGTACTACTACCTAGTACTACTACCACCACTACTACCTAGTGCTACTACCTACTACCTACTACCTACTGATACTACCTACTGCTACTACCTACTACCACTACTACCACTACTAGCACTACCACAACAACAACATTTCCTACTACTACTACTACTACTACTACTACTACTACACTACTACTACTACTGCTACTACTACTACTACTACTACTACTACCTACTTACTACTACCACTACTACTGCTACTACTACTACTACTACTGCGACTGCGACTGCGACTGCTACTACTGCTACTACTACCACTACCACTACCACTACCACTACTACTACTACTACTACTACTACTACTACTACTACCTTCTACTACCTACTGCTACTGCTACCCCTACTAGCTACTAGCTACTAGCTACTACCTACTACCTACTACCTACTACCTACCACCACCAACACCACCACCACCACCACTGCTACTACCTACCCGTCTACCTACTACCTACTACCTACTACTACCTACTACTACTTACTGCTACCTACTACTACCTACTACTACCTACTACTACCTACTACTACCTACTACTACCTACTACTACCTACTACTACCTACTACTACCTACTACTACCTACTACTACTACTACTACTACTACTACCTACTACTACTACTACTACTACTACTACTACTACTACTACTACTGCTACCACTACTACTACCACCACTACTACCTACTATACCTAGTACTACCAGTACTATTGCTACTACTACTACCTACTATACCTAGTGCTACTACTACTACTACTACTACTACTAGTAATACTATCGAGGGATCGAGATAACAAATGTTGGAGAACAACTATAAAAGGCGACGACACTGCACAGATTCTGGTACCTGCCAACCATTCAATTCAAGTGACCTGAAAAGATGCGGCCTTTGGCCTCCAGACTTCAAATTCTGTGTAAACGTTTTAAGCGGTAGGAAAAACAGAGGGCTGAAATTGGTTCCAGTCTTGGTTCAATTTGACGGCGGGGCCTGCTCTGCCGACATTGGATAGCTAAATTCACCTGAACTACGGATGTGTTGATAAGTATTTCTGCATGTGGCGTAGCAAGCCGAGCGGCACCCTATATGCCCCATTTCGTTCAACTGACATCATTGAGGCGCGGGCCATATTTGGGTCGGCCACCTGAAATCTGTAAAATGACGCGTCGAATGGCAAACAAACGCCGGCAAACCATGAGCACTTCAAAGGCGCTTCCTGTGGACCCGGCCAGGCAAAACCTGCGATAGTCGAAGCCCCTGTCGTCACCTATGCGCAACAACACTGTCAGCATGCAGAAAACCTGACAGAGTACAGTACTCACCGCACTAAATGGGTGACGTCGGCTACATCCCTGGGATGCTGGCAGAAAGCTTTGCACAGGATGTCGATCTCGGAATCCTCAGGCGATCGGCCTTTCTGTCCAGCAGCCTGACTTCGCCATTGCCAAGGGTCCTTCAGGAGAAACCCAAGCGCCTGCATTGTCCGCAGCATTGTGCTGCGACCTTCGTTTGAGAACGGATCAAATCGACCAACGGATCTTTGAAGCATGGGTATGAACTTTGATGCCCCCCCCCCCCCCGAAAGTGGACATGAGGCCCTAAATGATGTTCACTATTTCGAGCCCCCTCCCTCGCAAAAAAGACAAAAACAAAACAAACAAACATCGCCACGATGACTTCACACTATGTCCGCTGCGAACTCGGCCGCCCTTGCCACCTCTGTGCCTTACCGCCAACGCGCTGGAACTCACCAGCTCCAAAAGAAGCCACCGACTTTTCCGCAAAGGCGTCGAAGAGCTCAAGCCTTCTGGACCTACAACTTCCAAGTCCAGAAAGCAGGTCCATCTGCTGTTGCCATGTCCCATGGCTGGGGCCTTGCTTTGGCCTTTATTGCGTTCAGCAGCTTTGCCAGCGGCAAATCTGCACACCTGGCGTCTGAAGGCAAAGCATGAACCGGCGAGATAGGACTCTTTTCAAGGACGCGTGCCGGATGACGCATGCCTCCGAGGTTCTTTCTCCTTCCTTGCTGCAGCCTGTGGTGTCTTGGCATCGCGGTGCCATGCAGGTTGCGGCGTTGCGCGACCTTTCAGCCCGGCCAGCCTCGAGCTCAGAGATGTCCGCGCAAAATGCTCTGTATCGGAAGAAGCTGCTGGGTGCGGTGGTCGAGTCGCCTGGGTTGTTGGAGCTCAAAATTGGCGCATTCCGCGTACATTCGGCGCGCCTGGCCCCGGGGCCCCGTAAGCCATCTCCAAGGCTTCCAACCTCGAAATTCAGGGCGCTTCCACTGGCCAGGATTTCCATGCGCTGGGGCAGCTACTCCCTGCGAGGCAGCTGAAGTCCAAGAATGGCAAGCCTCAGGTTTGACTGCGCTTCTCTTCGGCTTCTATCTTTGGTGGCTCCATGTGAATATGGACCAAGGCAGCTTCGTTGAGTGCATCTGTCCTTGGGAGACCACCTGGGCAAGTTCTGACGCTCCGGAATTGCAAAGCCAGCAACATGCAAGGCTAGAACCAATATAAGGCTTGAACTCCCTTTCGCAGGCGGTCAAAATCCAAGAAACGATCTGGCAGCCTGTGGCATTTCAGCACAACTCTCGCACCTTCCAACTTGGAATTTGTTTCGAGAATTCGACGCCAAACCCTCCTCAAGCTGCGTTTCTGCACGACGGATGCGATCTTTGCCAGGACCTGGGTGCAGGAGACGCACGCCTCGGCAAGCTTTCAATGCCAGCAGCGTCGCAGGTTATAACTCGAAGTGTGCTGACACTGCGTAATGCCCTTGTCATCTTTTTCCACCCGTTTCATGTCACTTTGGCACATGCTGTCCGTCTGGCTACGTTCGGCCATTGCTTCAACTCAGACCGTCCAGGTTCACGATTGTATTCACCGCACTGATGAGATTGCAACTCCGAGTTTCTATTGCTGGTCCGCATAGCTCACCTCCGAGAAGGTAAGGCTGGACAGTTGAACGCTTCCTCCCTTGATGCGGACCTGTGAAGCCCTCCTCTTCAGTGCTTTCGCACGCAGACCAGTCGCTCCAATCTCCCATAATGCAGTCACGCATGGCGTCAGTGGTTTTATTTCCTTGGGGTTCAGGGATCGGCGATGCGTCCTTGATGGGCTTCACTGTAGACACTGTGTGGTTGTGCCTTTGTGAATAGGGCGCCCGGGACGAGACATGCACCTCCTCCGCGTCCGCCATCTCTGAATAGTTCATTACCGCCTCTCCACTGCTGAGGTTTTGCACGGGGTTGACGTCCACCGGGCTTGTTGTCGCATTGGTCACGTTGGTGAGGGCTTCCACGCTGTTTGCAACTGCCATTACATCACTCACCGTAGAATCTGTGGACAAGTTTGCCAAGGGTATAGCGGCTGACTTCGCAGACTTGTTGCGGGAAGCCTGGAGCAAAGAAATACCTCGGCCACCAGAAGATCTCTGACAATCTTCAGCGAGCCCGCAAGCAATAGTGAGAATCCAAAGTATGCGGTTGAGAGCGGCGGCCATTGAGCTGAATTACATGGAATGTCCCTTAGTGGTATGCCACGTTAAGATGAGTCTGGAGCCAATCAGCGGCTGCAGAATCGTGCAGGTTGCAGAATCCGTGTCAGCTCGCCCCCAGAAAATTCAGCTAGTGACCATGTCAAGCCATAACTGCACATGTCTCAGAAGTTGTCAGATATGAAGCTGTATGAGGCTCTGGCCGACAATGAGGTGTGCAGAGGCGCCGTCTTTGGTCGGATTCGGCCTTGTGGGCCCTGTGCGCGGAGCGGGGCTGTTTGAGGCCTGGCGGGCGCGCCAGGCAACATCCTTGCCAAGGCCGGTTTGGAACCGAGAGCAAGCCGCCTTGTTGCCCGAGCCACGTCTCTGTCGCTCCTGAGGGTTTCATCTCTGCGAGTCTCCGAGACCGCGAGAGAGAGAGAGAGAGAGAGAGAGAGAGCAGCTATCAAAGACACGACAGCGGATCTGCAGGCAGGGGTCAGCCGCCGCGCTTCTCGGCTAGAAGTGGCCTGGCGGCGCTCAAGCATGGCATTGATTCTGCAAGTGCATCACGCAAGTCAGCATGCGAACTAGGAACCTGGCAGGTCTTGACCCTTGCAAGGCGCTCGCATTCGCACGGTCCTGCGTCGGTCAAACTGTCAGCCGCGAGGCTTTTTTGTCAACTGCCTGCACCTGCTCCTCCGGCAAGGAACTAGAATCTTCGGCATCTTCTTGATCGCTGTAAACACCTTAGGCAGAGCCGAAGGGGCCCACGCGCACGGCAGAATCCCTGGTCTTAAAACCCTGGAAAGAACCACCACTCTTGCGATGGCCTGCAGCCCGTTCTTCCTCGCGGTTGGCCTGCCCCCGCAATTTGGCCGCGCATGCGCTGCACAAACCACTGGGGGTGAGTGCCATGTTTTAATGCGCGACTGCAGGAAAAAACTGCGTGAAGCAGCGGGCAAACGGAGGGATGCAGCCCTTCTCATATGCAATATGTTGCGCCCAGTTCTATTCAACGTGCTGGTTTATAGGCAGGCGTGGTGATAATGCCGGACGTGGAGCCACCTGCCAAGATTTGAGCTGAGCGCAGGGGTCCGGACCCGTGCAGGAAATTGGAACCATGGCGCTCCTCACTTCTCTGTCCACCAAAGCCATCAAAATGACTAGAGCTGTGCGGGGATCTGGCAATGAGTGGAGCTGCCCAATCAACGGATTCCATGCCTTTATGGAAGAATGATTCGTGATTCCGGTACGGTTCGACGTATCAAATTCAATCAGCAAACATGGGCCAACACCAAGGAATTGCCCGTCGCCGGTCAGTCTCCAAAGCATCACAATGCCAGTCCCTGCCTCTGATGTGACCAGGACGTCCAATTCCAGCGCATGCAAATGTACCGTCTCAGAGCGCGGTATCGAATTGATGTTGACCCCGGTCTAACACCAACGTGGTGGATGAACAGGGGGCGTTGCCCGCAACAGTGAAGAACTCGTTCAAAATGGGACGCCCCCCATTTGTCAACCCTGGGCTTCTGAATCCTGAGGTCTCACCAGGTTACTGCATCTCTCTGGATGTCCTCTCTGTCAACTTCGCGCTGGGCCCCTGGCCCCCGCTTCATCTGAATATGCTCGCAAAAGCACCCGGAGATCCTCGTCGCAGAACTGCGACCTCGGTTCAGGGCTTGGTAAGACGAAGTCCAGGCCTGACCGGGCCCGGGCATGAACGGAAAGCGCCGCAGCATCGCAGCTGCATTCACTTTGCCGCTTCCGCGCGGGCACCTCAAGCTCTCCCCTTGTCACAAAGATATGGCAAACAAGGACACAACAGCACGGCGCCTCCTTTGCTCACGACTTGAATCCATTCATGCGTCCAAGAAGCTCGTTGTTGCGTGCCTGCCGCAAGCAGCCTGACAACCTCAGATATGGAAACTGCTAAGCCGGCTGAGCTTGAATTGTTGCAACGAGAGCCGTGCTCAACTCCACGCGTGCGGCAAAGGTTGGCGACCTTGCACCGTGCACCGAAGCGACTCAAACTCACGCGCCATCTTCCGTGTACAACGGCGCTTGGGCCGGCCTTTTGGAGAATTGCCCTCAGCCGCTCCTCAAGAATGTAAAGGCTCAAACAAAAAGCCCCGAAGAAAACTCCCTGACTCCCACAAAGGGCTTGGGAAGTTGGATGGGCCTGGCTGTTGTGCGAAACTTGGGTGGCCCCCATGACCTCCCCAGCCGATGTTCTTGCACCACCAGTCAGCCAATGGCCCGACTGTCCTGGTCACCTTGGCGCATCCTGGACTCGAAGTGCCGTCCAGCCTCAGAGCGTTTTTCGTCCCCTCGTGTGCGTTGGCTTGGCCCACTGGGCGCCTGGCACCCAGCAAGCCCTCGCCAGGAAGTGGCACCTGCGGACATGCGCGGCCCCGGTAGCCCGTGAGCAACCCGTGCCAACTTGTCACGCAGGGCCCGCGAAGCGCCGAACGCGTCACACTTGGCGCCACGTTGTAGCACCGCCTTCTGCATTGGGCGCTTCTCCAACTTGGAGGGGCCGAACACCTCGTCAATGCATTGACCTTGGTCGCTATGTGCCGGGGGGTCGGCAATTCAATTGCACCACTCAAAGCACTGAGCGGCGGACAGAATAGCAGGTAATTAACCACTCGCGGCCAGCGAGCCTGCACCATGTGCACCAGTTAAGCCGCATGCCGCCTTGTAGGCAAATTGTGGCTCACACAACCATACTAATTCAAAGCCGGCTGTCCCTTGCGAATGTGAAGCCACGCTGATTCAAAGCTGATGGCGCATGCAAACAGGCCTCAGGCCCAGAATTTGTGAAGTGCTCCTTAGTGACGACGTTGCCGCACTTCTGAATACAGGCAAGCCCGTGAAGCAAACAAGAGCCAACAAAAATTGAGGCAGTACCTACATGAGGCCGGCCATATGAGACACACGAAAATGTCTTCCCGCCGAGCTTCGGCCAGGGCCTCAACTTCAAAAGGCTTGAGGCATGGCACGGCGGCGCATAGTGCCTAAGCACAAACCCATGGCAAGGCGAACACGAAGGCCAAACGGGCCTTACCTCAGCCCCTTGCTCGGGCGAACTGTGGCTTCGTGCAGCGACTGGTCCTTGCAAGGTCAAAGTCTTGGAAGTGGTCCTGTTGGCGAGGCCAGCCATTCAAGCCAACACAGATCATGGACCAAAACACACCGTGAACAGAGCACTCCGGCCTTGATCCGGATGCGACGCTGGAAAACGTAGGCTTGCACTCGAGCAGTCAGCTCATGGATTGAGTCTGGCCCCGGTGCAGGCTCCTGCGGGCCCCCGAGCAGTTTCCAACTAGTGTGCCGTTTGCTCAGACCTTGGATTCGGTCGCATCGCCCCATGCCACCACCGGCGCCATGTGGCCTCACTGTCAGCCAATCAATAAACACCGTGTCATCTTGTTGCGCAGGGCCGCGGACTGCCGACCGTGCTGGCTGCTAGCCGGGACGTCCATACATTGAGCCCACAAGTTTATCCACCTGTCCGACGCTGCGAAGCGCTGGCCACGTAAGATGGGGACACAATATCTAAAAATGGGACTGCACAGGGTTTGCCTTTGGCCTTCTCTCGTTCTTGTGGGAAACTGAAGGTTCCGGAATGTGCGAGCACTGTTTTGATATCTGACTTTTTCACAACAGCCAAAAGCCCAAAGAAACTCGGCAAACAAAATAAGCCGTTGCAAACAGTCCAATTACAGGTTGTTTGCCCGCTTGCGGCTGTACAGCACGGCAAAAGGCTGATGCCAGCTTTTGACAATGGCCCAGCCATTGCTGCCCACAGCCAACTATCCAATTGTGCTGTTCCATGTTCTTGCTAGCATGCCGCCATGCTGAATGGCAGCCCTTTTTGCACAGCATGGGGCTATGGCGGGGCAACCATTGGTGGCCCGATGCCACCTTTCTGCATTTCGTGTGCTGCTAGCACTCTTTGCAGCATGTCCTTGCATGCTTCTATGATGTGAGATCATTGGACATCGTCCGGCTTTTCTCTTTGTAAAGGCTCGGCACATGGCACAACCGGCAACACCAGCATCGCCAGCAATCAACCTCATGTGACTGCATATCTGCTCCCGCCTGCGTTGCTCAAAAGCCGTGTCCCCTTCAGACTTGACAGATCAATCAATTGAGAGCTTTCTGAACAACGCGGCAGGCACCTGATCGCTTCCCATCAGCAAGGAAGCGTCAGCCCGGCTAGCAAGCCGGCATATCACTGATTGGGAGATGACACGTGTCTCCAACCTTGAAGGCCAACATGCATTGACACGTTGGCTCTCACAGCTTGCTACTCGCTGCCCAAATGGCCAAGAAGCTGTGATGACCTTCGTGGTTCCGTCATTCTTGATGTTGACCAGCGTCACTGACCTTTCTCGCAAGACATCTGCGCAAAAGCTCTAGCTCTCTCTCTCTCTCTCCCTCCCTCTCCCTTTCCCTCTCTCATTGACAGGGAACGCACGGCCGACTGGTGCGCAATAATTTTATTAGGACTCCAGCCCATGGCCGATGCTGTACAAAGCCCGTGCTTCTTTGGTCTCTTCTACAGACCTTTGGCGAGCAAATGCCGGGCCACTGACCGAGGTTGCGGAATGTCATGCAAAGAAGGACATTCTTGCTTCGCAGCAGCACGCCTCTAACCTTTGCTTTGGTGCAGCGCTCACTAGTTGCTGGGCGCCGAAGCATTCCCAGGGACCGCAGCAGCACATACAAAAGTGGCGCATCCTGAGCCAACGTGTCTGAGAGAAACCCACGCGGGGTGATCATGACAGCATCTTCTTACCGGCACTTTGCTGCTTGCCTCGGCCACTATCACTACAGTATCCCGAGAACCTCGGAGTGCAAATGTGGATCAGTGCATCACACATCTCGGACTTTCATGTCTTATGTGGCCCTCCTCGTGCCGCTCTTGGCGGGGCAACTAGGGAGACACATGGCCATGGGTCAAACCCACGTACTTTCAGTGAACATCCCAATTCCCACCAACATAGACTAAAATGGGTGGTGCACCTATCCCAAAATGGTACCATTGGTTTTGAACCGTGGCCACATATAAACATAGCATATATTCTAGATTTGTTTGGCACGTGTTGGCCGAGAAGCTCTCGATGGGTACCGTGAAGAACTGCAGAAATGCAGCCTGCTAGAGCTGATTCGGTGCGCAAATGACCAATTGGGTCAAGGGGAAGTGCCTCCGGCTCTTGCACGATGCTCTCCGGCAGTATCTGCGGCACCTCGCAGTCAACATTGCTGCCGTTGGATACCCAAGATTTGTCCAGCGCGCCGTTTTCAACTTGGCAGCAATCGACGTGGCAGTTGACTGAGCCGCCGTGGTGCAGGCCACCTGGACTAAGATGAAAAAGCCATGTCTTGGGCGAGATCTGAGACTTGGGCCATGGCCTTGCCTGACCTCGGGTCATGACTCCCACAGCATTGCATGGAGGGAAAACAAGCTGCTAGGATTTGCTCAGGAGGCTGCATCATGTAGCCCCCCAAGCTTTTGACGTGGTCAGTCACGGAACGGATCTGCTGGCTGATAGAGGCGTCAGAGCCTGAGCGTGACAATGCAATTCAGCGCAAGTGGCCTCAAAAGCGACTAGCGAACGCACTTGCACCCTCGCTTTACCAATCTTGCAAGTGCACAGGAAGGCTTTGAAAGACTTATATTATGCTGAACAAAAGCGCTCGCCCACTTCCATGAACCAATTCGCGGGAACGCGCCTTGTCCGCCAGCTTGCCTTACCTTGGATCACAGCCGTGCTGTGCTTTCTAAGCTCGTTGCCTCAAGAACCGGGTGCCGCCTTTTCATTCCCCCAGGCACGCTTAAGCCCAGGGGTGCAATCCCTGGGTTTAAGTCATCCCTGGAACAACCAAAAAGGGAACCCTGCCCAAGAAAGTTGGGGATCCTGGCCAAGACCACCATCCGTCCACCGAACTTGTGCCGCTCTGGGCCTCCGCCTTTCCATGCCGACATGTCGGCACCTGAGCTCAGTGCGCTCTGTGAGACGCTGGCCCAAGCTAGCAACCAGTGTCCACAGACGGGTCTGCCTTTTTCAGGGTATATTTGTTTGTTGGCTTCGAAAGGGGAACCAAATGGAACCAACCATTTTTGGGGGTCCCGTAAAAAAAGACACAACCATATGGTAGGACTAGATTTGACCTGCTGGGAGATGTCACTGAGGCCAAGTCCTGTGACATTCCTCCAGGTCACCGCCTCACCAAACAAACGTCATTCCTCTCAAGTCTTCGGCAACATCTCTTTGCCTCTCCTCACTCTCCTCACTTTGAGGGAAGGATTGTCAAATGAAAGGAAAAAAAGCTGGGCACTGCAAAAACAATATGTTTTGATCTCTCTGTGGGGGGTTGTACTCCGACAAGCCCTTTTTGGCTTTGTTTGGTCTCGTTTTTCGCGCTTCTTGATCACATCTGCAGCCTTCCGCCTCTCAATGCCGCTTCATCAAACTCGCATTGTCAAGCGTTGGCTGTGCTCACCACACCCACGCAATCAAGAGCACCGTAAATGGTGGTGATCCATTCGCAAAAACATGTAGATGCTGGCCTGCTGAGTCCCTCAACGCTGGGTTGCTTCGACGACAGTCGCTCGATATATTGGACACCTGTAGCAGGTGGATCGCCCGCGGTTTTTGACAATGTGCTGAAACTTCTAGTTGGGTGGTGCCATTGACCAGCCGGACTAAGGCAGGCTTCCACTTCTTGAGCTTTTGCTGGAGTGACGAACTTCCTTCCTCTTCCTTTGGCTGGCACTCGCTGCTGGAGAACCTTGGAATGGACCCGTGCCCTGGTTCCAGGCTTGCAGTTGTGTAGCCATTGGGCCTTCACTGTTGCACTCACGGTCCCTACACCCAGGTGACCCGTGGGAGCCTGCTCAACATTCTGATGGGATGCTGCAGAAGTGCTTGCGTGATCTCACATGTCGTGTCTTCGTTGTGGCCCTCCCTTGCCTGCCACGATCACGAGGGGGCCTTGTGCTTGGGCAAGACAAGATGAAGCAAGACGGTGTGTCCATTGACAACCATGGTCAACTCATCAGATACGATCCACACATTTGAGCTGTTATTTGTAGTGAAGGGACACAAGGAGATTGGACATATTAGACCCCGCTTGGACATACTACTGCACGCACGTAGGCTTGCATGGCCACTTTTTGGACAGTCGGCGGGCGAGCTTTGTCACGTAGGCAGCACGTATGCTCAGCATGGCAGTTTGCCCATAAGCGCGCTCGTAAGAGTTGCAGCACATTCGGACACTGCTGCCTTGAGCGCAAACCTCCAACCACGTAGACGCCCCTTGCGGTGCAAGGCTGACATACCTCGCGCAGGCCGTCCCAGATGGTATTTGCACGTGGCGCAGGTCTGATACGCCACTAGCATTAACTTCAGCATTCTATTGTTCGAGTAGTTGATAAAATACTAGTTTCCTTTATAATCAACTTCTATGATCATGTTTGTCCTTGAATGTCTATGTCACAATTCAGGATCTTAAACGATTTACATCTCGCAACAATTGTAGAGTTGTGTGTGTGTGTGTTTGTCTACAACTTCAATTTTAATGCCGGTATCTAATCAAGTTGCCTGTCTGTCTCTCTCACACATCCCCGTTCCGATTCCAACCGCCGGTGAACGCTGGAATGCAACTGATGTTTATCCAGTCTTCATCCCTCACAATATCTAGCCTTTGTTAAAGCTCAACAAGGAGAGGAATTATAATTATCTTTGTTTCACAAATCCATTCCATCCATGATAAACACAACAGTTAAACAATACTATTCATGTAATATGCGTGTTCCAACCTAGCTTCCCATGATCATTCCATTCGCTTTTCATGTCGGTGCTTTCAAACTGATTCTGGTGACTAACTCATGGTATCTAAGTCATGGAGGATGCACAAAGTCTTACAATCAGGTGATTGCTATGGAAATGAGGAGAGTTCTTTTAGGCAAGGTCCTATTGATTGCGTTCTTAAAAGCCTTGGCAGAGTGATCATTACCCATCCACAAATAGAAACAAGACAAATAAGACTGACAGACAGAAGGTCTCAGAAGGTAGTGTATTTGGATAATTATCTAGTTCGTCTCTTTAGCTCCTTTATTTCTTAATAGCACCAGCAGCTCACCTGAGCAAGGCAAGAAACGGCAACGATGGCGTGCCACTAGTTTTTCTAGCAACTTCACCAGCGATTGCATTTTGTGTGTGTTCGACTGTCTGTGACGAGTTGACGTTTCGACTTGTCGACTGTTCGTGACTTTTTGACCTTTCGCGACTTGGTTGAGTGTTGGACTTTTCGACTTTTCGAGTTGCACGTTGTGGACTTGTTGACTTGTTGACTTTTCGACTCATTGTGTGTTTTCGACATTTCGCGGTATCTGGGCGACTTTGTGAGTCACCTTGCGCTCCGAACCCACCGGGTGGCCGCACAGAAGTATCATGGCATGTAGGGGCGGCAATCGAAAAGCACATAGTAGCATCGCTCCATGTGCGGCTCGCCCTTCATGCTCTGTGCAAACATGTGCTCACGTCAGTTGGCTTTTGCATGAGTTGTGCGAACCGCCAAGGACAGCCATCCTGTTCCAGCTGTTCTGCTCCCTTCCCCCAGCCTTGCATGGCACATGAACCATGCAGGACTCGCAGAAACACCCGCTCAGTATCTTGGGCAGCGGCAGTATCGGCAATGTGGGCGGCGGCGCCGACTGAGATGACCTGCGGATGACCAAGTCCCAGGAGTCCCAACCGTCCCAACCCAACCGTGGCCTTCTTCTCCCCGTTGGAGAACACGTCCACGCGTGTGATCGATGCATGGCGAAGATGAAAAAGGTTCCAAGCCTGAGCTGTGGATCTGCCACTTGCCATGTGTGCCAGCCTGTGCCTGGGCAGCCCTTTCGATGGGGACCCCGGCAGCACCTTAGGCGAGCGGTCTCTCTGAAGGATGTGCAACAGCAATGAAATTCTCGGCTTCACAAACACACATTGCAAGCCGGCTGTTCCTTTTATGAGGCTTGCGCGCCGGGACTTGCCCCGACCCCACGTGCCACCACTCCAAGCAGCTGTGAAACATGCACCAGCGCCCAAACCCCAGCAACCGTCTGGCGCCTTACGCTAAGCTCGCGGCGCATAAGCATGTACCTCGGTGGGGCACAAACGCTCAAACGCAGAAAGCGTTCTGCACTGATCCCATAAGATCTGTGCCAACTATCAGTTGAGATGGGGTTGTCTCGAATAAGAACCCCTCAAAATCGGTGATTTTCCTCTTGCCCCCCTTTAAAACCACCCCAAATATCGGTATCATCACAAAAAGACCCCCCCCCCCTATGCCATGTTCCTGCCGAGTCTCAGAATGATGTTATTGTGGGCGACTATGACCAGCGCGTCGGAATCCCCAGCCTTCGCGGCGCTGTGAGCTGTGAGCTGACGCGCACCAACCCAAAAAAAAACACGGCCTCCGGGCCTCCGGGGCTGCGAAGAGTCGATTGAACACCTCCTCCGCACGAAAGGGCTTGTCGGTTGGATCCTAGGTCCGTCGGCCTTCCCCGTGGCTTGGAGAGCTTTAGGCCCGCACCGTCTCGCGCAATAAGTCGGCATTCCTTGGCGTTCGGCAAGCTTTGGCCAAAGTGGCACGAAGGAAAAATGACATCGAGCTGCCATACTTCTAGATCCTGGATGTGGACTGGAAGCTTGGCAGCTGTTTCTCTTGCTCTCCTGCGCCATGCTTTCCGGAAACTACCCGACCATGGGGGCAACAAAAGCATTGCTTCTGTTGCCAAGGTCAAGCATCAGCTCTGTGTCCGACCTGCTGGTACTATGAAGCAAGGCGCGCTTGGTTGGTAGCTTTCCCAGGGCAAACAGCCTTACGACATTGCGCCGGAGATCAGACATAGGATGGACTCTTCCGCGCTGAGCTCGGTGCTGGCTGATAAAACGTGCTGTGTCCTGAAGCCACGCTGTGTCCAACGCAATGCTCAACCATGCAGGGGGAAGCAACCCGTCAATACTGACAGGGGTTGCAGCTGAACCTTCTCCCTGCATGAAACCTTCAAACATCTGAGATTTGCCCACCCCTTGAAGCTTTGCACACCCTTGTTCGACAATGCATGCCGCGGTCCTCTGCCTGCTTGTGACCGTGCTGCGTCAACTCCTTCAATTCGTCCCGCTCGCCTTCATGACAGCACTGGCCGTGGCGCAGCATCAGAATGATTCGGCGACCTGTCATCACCACAAACGCAGTGACCACACCAATCTCTGTCTGCCACACGGCCACGCCTGGCTTGGTGCTGTGCTTGCCACAAACCTTGGCTGCGGAACTGAAAGATCTGAAACGCAATTCAAGCCGCAGCTCGGGACACGGCGGAACTTGCTGAACTTGCGGTGTTTGTCGTGCTTGCCTCGCCTGCACACCAAAACTCCTCCCCATCAAGTTGCCAGCCCACTGTCACCATGCCTCCGGGTGCCGCCCCAGAGGCTGCCCCAGAGGCTGCCCCAGGGGCTGGTCCAGGGGCTGCCCCAGGGGCTGCCACAGGGGCCGCCACAGGGGCTGCCACAGGGGCTGCTACAGGGGCTGCTACAGGGGCTGCTACAGGGGCTGCTGGCTTCCGCACAATGTACACCACTGGCACTGGCTCACCTGCCAGCATCCCAGTAGCCCTGTGCTCATTGAATTCCAGTCTTGTCAAACCCCGAAATGACTTCTGCTCTCCATGCCTCCGCCACCAAAGGAGCTCAACTTGGCGTCGGCATCCTGCCGGTGCCGGTGCCGCAATTTTACGCGAACGCCGAAGATGCTCACAAACAAGCCACAAATCCACAAACCGCAACACCCCGATTTCAATGTCCGCTGTCTTCGCTGAGAACTTGCATATTCATCCCTTCTGCTGACACTCTAATGCTACTGACGCCTACAAGAATGAATGAAGGAATATTTAGTTATAATGCAAAGAGAAGCCTTATCTGGAATGCAGTTCACCTTGTATCTTCTTCTTTATAGTTCATGTCTCTATTTCCTGTTTACTAATCTAGATTATTGGAAATATTTAAAAACCAAGAAACGCGGGTGTGTGGTATGTCTTTTCCTTTGCTTCGTGGTTTTGTCCTGAGCACTTCTATCTACTGGCGAACCCATCCTTCTAACTCCCAAGGTACATCCTGTTTACATCTGTTCACCTTAGGATCTACAACTTACTAATCTTCATTCAATATTATCTATTTCCCACGTCCAGATGTTGCATCAGATATCTAGAGATGTGTCCAACCAATAATCCAGGCTGTACAACTTTCATCATGTAACCACTCTATCTTATCCCTTCTGTAATAGCTGGAGAACTCTGGAGATGTCACCAACAGAAAATCAGGCAGATCTTAAACATGGCTTAAACTGGAGAACCTAAGTACGACCTCAAGTCTTAACCCAAACCCTAAAGCTCAAAAACGATCTCCAGTTTGAATGTGTGATTGTCTCTGCCAGCATAGTTATTGTCACTCTCTTCCCTCTGACACTTAAGTCACTTCAGTTCTTTTGATGCGTGTCAGTTTCAAGTAGCGCAAGGCGACGTTTCAAGCGCTCAAAATGGAAAATCACCACCTGCGACCTTAAATCTAAATCCTCCCACCGCATTTTGAGTTCGATAGCATTTTGTTTTCGCTCGTCGTTCTGCTGTTTTTGTTGCCGTCTTCGGTAGTTTCAAGGTGAATCTTCTGTTGCATTCCGACTCAAGGACGCAGGCCTGGCGTTTTGAGAACCCCATGACATTGGCGAGCCTCCCAAATCGCCGCTCTCCTGCCCCTAATGCATCACCTTAACCCCGCCTGACGGCATTCAAATTGGCAACTGTCACGCGTACCCGCCCCCCCAACACAGCAGGATATGCCTCGACATGCAAAATCAGAAAACCCAAGGCAGAGTCAAAGAAATGAAGTCAATGCTGGCAAGCACCCAAGCGCATTGCTGTCCTTGAGAGGCTTCCCACGACTCACAATAGTGATGAGTTGCGCCTCGCACCCCTCTCGCGCAGCCTTAGTAGCGAAAAGTCAAGACTTGCTACACCAAATCTCTTTTGAGATTCAGTGAACATGGATATCTGAGTGCTTTTGTATTACACCCTGGGATTACACCCTTGGGAAATGACCCAGAATGGTTCAACATAACACGGATTTATCCGGAAATGTGCCTAAATGGGGTCAATTCCCAGTGGGTGTATTCCCAGGGTGTAATGCAAAAACCCTTAGAGGACAAGAACTGAGCTGTGGACCAAGCTGGCTTCCAGATCTCTGACGGTGGCAGTAGGTGGCAGCTCCACATCGAAGGCAGCAGCCGCTGCACCCGCCACAGCCTTCTTCACGTTGAACACCACCTTTTCGGCTCCTGGCAACTGCCTCAACCTGTACTGTATTTGGGTGTGGCTCAAAGTTAAAAACCTAAGCTTAGGCAGTCTTTGGTCTTTGGTTCCATTTACCAAGGTGCCATATTGGTACATGTTTGTGAGCCACAGCCATTTTGCCACAACCGCTTTCCCATTTCTACCTGGCATTTTGCATTGACCTAGCCAGACCCAGCCAGACCTGCACAGCTGTAGCGGTGTCTGCTCAGCCCCCAGCTTTGCACCCGCGCGAAGTGCTTTTTCAACGGCAAGAGCCGCAAAACGCACTCACTTGAGGATTCTCCCCGCAGTTTTGCGTACTGGGCTTGGGAAAGCAGAAAGAAACACGGCCTGGTGCTTCACAA